ACCCTGCTGCACCCCCAGGCCCGCCCCCCATGGGTTTCGCGCCGCCAGGCGGGTTCCCGCCGCAGGGCTTCCCCGGCATGCGCCCCCCGGGCATGCCGCCGCCGGGCATGCCCCCGCCCGGGTTCCCCGTCCCGCGGCCTGGCATGCCGCCGCCGCAGTGAGGCTGGGGCGGCGGCCGCCGACTGTTGTTTGGGAAGCCTGTGCGTGGCTTTTGACGCGCGGTTGGGGCACGGGGCGGCCGGCGGCTTGGCGGGCGTGCCCCCTGCGCCCCAAATGTAGATACAGCCAGCGCCGCCACCATCGTTTTTTGTAACACATGCAATACTGTTTGGGCCCAAAGCAGTGTGAGACTGAGACACACACAGATGTCTCTGGCCAGCAGCCATGAATGGACTGGGGTCGCGCAGGTGTCGAGGGGATGACGCGAGGGGGCAGGACAAGCGCATGTCGCAGCGCGCATCCCCAAACGCCCCACAAAAGGCGACGCGTTTGGTAAAGCAGCACGCACTTCCCCTTGAATGCTGCGACCTTCCCACCCTGCCCGCCGGTTGTGAATTCGCCAGCCCAATCTTGGCCACCGCCCGCCGAACCGCCGGCTGCTGCCCACAAAGCGCTGCCCCTCCCCACACAATCTCACAGCTGCCGCCTGCTCAGCTGCCGCCAAGCCCCAGCATCCGCAGCACCTCCTCCGTCGCCACCGCCCCGCCGCCGCGCTCCTTGTCCGCGCGCCGCCGCAGCGCGATGAGCTGGTGGCGCGTGAATCGCAGGCCCGCCGCATCAAACGCCGCCTCCAGCTGCGCCCCGGCCAGCTGGCCGCAGCCCTCCGAGTCCGCCGCCACCAGTGCCGCGCGCAGCTGCGCGTCGCGCCCGCGGACCTGCCGCGCAGCATGGCCCAGGCAACCGAACGCAACGCGGATGGCATAGAGAGGCGCCCGTTTGCCTCCTGCCACGAACTCGAATCCACTGCCACCGCGCTCTCAGCCCCCAAAAGTGCTCGTTACGCAGCGCAGACGGGTCCTCCAAACATGACTCCTCGACGCCCCGTCCGCACCAAGCGCCACAGCCGCGCGCGCGTGCAAACACGCCGTCCCGCCCCGGCCGGGCCACCGGAGGGCGCGCCCCGCCCGACTCGCCGCGCGCGGCGACGGCCCCCCGCGCACCTGCACGCGCAGGCTCTCCAGTATGGCGTCTGCGTCGGCCATGACGAAGATGTGCTTGTTGTTCTCCATGTAGGTGAGGGTGTACTCGTCCGCGTCCATGAGCTCAAACGCGCGGCTGAACACCTCCAGGCGGCCCCCCACGTACAGGTCCTGGGGGCGGGGGTGAGTGGTGTATGAAATGTGCTTGTTTGTGTGCAGTTGTGTGTGTGTAAGAATGTGTGTCTCAGGAAGGGATGGAGGAGGAGAGAGAGAGAGAGAGGGTGAGAGAGAGTAAGTGTGTGTGTGTGTGGGTGTGGGTGTGGGTGTGGGTGTGGGTGTGTGCGTGTGTGTGCGCTGTGATCCGAAAGTGGGGGGTCTGAACGGTTGTGTGACCAAGACGTGTGTGTGGTCTTGCATGCATCGTCTACGCCACACGCTTGCCGTAGGCCCGTCACGAGATGGCCACCCAGGTCACGGTCACCCAGCCCCACCCCACCACCCCGGACCCCCCTCCCTGCCTGTGCCGGCCTGTCCTATGAAGACCCCACCTGGTACGTGTAGATCTCCTCGCTCCCGGGCTTGTACACGCGCTGCCGCTCCAGGAACTTGCCGCCCCCGATGCCGCTGTTGCGCACGGGCGGCTCAAACTGAGGGGCAGGCGGGCGTACATCCAAGGGCGGGAGGCGGGGCGCGCGGGACCATCAGTTTCTTGCCGCGTGCTCACACTGACCCCCTGTCCAGCCTGATTGGCCAGCCACGCCCCAAGTGTCTCAACCAGCAAACCTCCATCCCTTGAATTAAAAGCTGGCCAGGGCGTCACTACGCCCACCCGTGCACCCCGCCAAGCCCAGCAAGCTCAGCCCCACTCCTGCCCACTGTCGTCGGGCCAAGCGGCGGCCAACATAACACGCATGATTTGGGGACAAATCACAGCTACTCCTGCACCCACAATGAGGAGGCTGTCGTCCATGAGGAAGTAGGACAGCACAAAGTTGCGCCCCGCGTCGGCGTGGCTCAGCGCGTGCGTCGCGGTGGGGGCCATACGCGCTGTGAAGCGCAGGATGATCTTGTCCTTGTTCATCAGCTTGTGCATGTCCTGGGGTTTGGGACGTGTTTCGAGGGTTGTTCATACGTGTGTGGGAAAGAGAGTGAGTGAGCCTCTGATAGAGAGAGAGATAGAGGGATCATGTATATGTGTGCGTTCGTGCGTGTGTGTGTGTGTGTATGTGTGTGTATGTGTGTGTATGTGTGTGTATGTGTGCGTCTCAACACAGGTGTTGATGGTCGAGCAGTCCGCTGCAACTGTCGCTGGCCACGACTGTAGAGGGCCCCACTACCATCTGCTGCGCTGCAGTGTCCGCCTAGGCTGGCCAGGCAGTTCATGGCCAGGGCACGCAGGCGGCATACCAAGGCGGCCGCATGGGGGGCCTGCTTGCCTTCTTTGGCGGCTTCGGCACGAGCGCGACGCAGTTCTGGCGGCTGTCGTCCAGGCTGCCGTAGCCGTTGTATGGGGGCACCTGCGCGGAAGACCCGGGTGGCGCATGTGTGTGTGTGTGTGTGTGTGTGTGTGTGTGTGTGTGTGTGTGTGCGCGCACGCGCACGTATCTGTGTGTGTGACGGTGCGCTTGTGAGCCGGGCAGCACAGTCATTTCCAGCATGGCTTGGATGATTGGCACGTCAGCCGGGCCGCGGCCGCTATCTCTGGGGGCCGGCGACGCGCTCGTGCACAAGCGCCAGGTGTGCGGCAGGCTGGGGGCGCCGCCCCTGGCTCTCACCGCGGGGCGGGGCAGGGGCGGCACCGGCTCGGCGATGTCCAGGTCCTGCAGCATCTCATCGGGGTAGCCCAGGGTGGACT